AAACAAAGGAAATGCGAGATGGAGCCAATGTGACATGTACATTTCTCTATTGTGAGATTAATAAAGTCCATCTTATCTTATCTTAAGCGATGAAACTCCTAATTGAACAAAGTCAAAGTCTCAAAGTAGTGAGACCCAAACCCCAAATCGCCAAAAGGAAAGAGATCAGACCACAATTGCACAAATACTTGACTATTGCTCATTCCTCTTTAAACACTATATTTAAACTTCAAACTAAAATTAACTCGGATCACAGCACAACATGGGGACAAAATGATTCCTAATATGCAGCCAGCGAAAGTTCAATTTGGTAGCCGTTAACCAAATTTACCCCCTCCAGGCCGGCTCGCATCCCAGCCTATCGCTCAGCAGACGCCCCCTTCCAATCATCGTACCGACTACGCCAGCCGCATAAAAACGGAAAAACTACCACTCTCTGCCTCCTGAAGCCTCGCAACCTCCTGAAGCCTCGCAGCTCCTGAAGCCTCGCAAAGAATCGTTCTGGAGGAATCGCTTTTGTCTACTCACGCTTACTCGTGCGTGTCCCTGCTGTCCTCTGTCTTGCTGCGTGTGGTCTGCTCCTCCTCCGCGTCGCTGCACCTGCTGCGGGTCTCGTGCTGTGGTCCGTGGGTCTTTGCCGCTCTCCTCCTTTGCGGGCTCTTTCTGCGGGTTTGCCGCTGCTCGTCTCGTCGCGGCCTGCTGCTGCATACGGCCGGTCTAGCCCGGTGCGGTGGGACCCGTGCGCATCCCTGCCTCCTCGTGCCGGTACGGCGTGGTCCCGTTGTGTTGTCCCTTGTCTTCTGGCGCTGTGGGTATGTATGAGATCTGCGCACGGTTTATTCCCCTCGCATCGTACTGCAGGCTCAGTTTTAATCCCTCACATTGGACTGCAAGACCTCAGTTTTAATCCCTCACACTGGACTGCAAGACCTCAGTTTTAATCCCTCACATTGGACTGCAAGACCTCAGTTTAATCCCTCACATTGGACTGCAAGACCTCTGTTTTAATCCCTCACATTGGACTGCAAGACCTCTGTTTTAATCCCTCACATTGGACTGCAAGACCTCTGTTTTAATCCCTCACATTGGACTGCATGCTCTGTTTAAATCCCTCTCTGGACTATGAGCTCTGTTTAAATCCCTCTCTTGGACTGCAAGCCCCGTTTACATCCCTCTCGGACTGCGGCTCCCAAAATGAATCCCTTACATTGGTCTGTGAGCTCTCAGGTTAATCCCTCACGGAACTGCTTATATCTGGGAAATGTGCTAATATCTGGAAATGCTAATATCTGGAAATGCTAATATCTGGAAATGCTAATATCTGGAAATGCTAATATCTGGAAATGCTAATATCTGGAAATGCTAATGTCTGGATTGTTATATCTGGAAATGCTTATATCTGGAACTGTTGTACCGTATCTGGAACTGCTTCATATGGAACTGCTTATATATGGAACCGCTATATTGGAACTGCTTATATGGTACTGTTATACCTGGAACTGTTATGCAGTATATGGAACTGCATATATGGTACTGCCTATATCTGGAACGCTATATATTAAAACTAAATGAATGAATAAATAAATACATATAAATAAATACATAAATATAAATAAATATAAATAAATATAAATAAATATAAAGAAATAAATTAAAAAAAAAAAAAAAAAACAAAAAAAAAACCGCAGGCTCTGTTGGATCCCTCACACCGGACTGTAAGCTCTCAGTTTAAACTCCTCACTTGGACTGCGGGCTCAGTTAATCCCTCACTTGGACCGTAAAACCTGTTAAATCACTTGGACCGTAAAACCTGTTAAATCCCTCACACTGAACAGCTACAACAACATCCTACTGCCGTGGCTTGATACAGGATCATCGCTGTTATTATCTACGGATGCTGCAGCTGCTGCTGCTGCTACTGCTGCTGCTGCTTCATACGGCTACTACTGCTGCTGCCGCTGCTCCATACTCCTACTGCTGCTGCTCTATACCGCACTGCTGCTACTACTGCTGCTGCTTCATTTACTTGCCATCTCTCTTCACTTGCATCTCTTTTACTGAAACACTGATCAGCTACGACAACATTCTACTGCTGTGGCTTGATACAGGCTTATTACTGTTAATCTCTAAGGATGCTGCTGCTGCTGCTGCTGCTGCTGCCGCGGCTTGATACAGGTTATCGCTGTTATTATCTGAGGTACTGCTGCTGCCGCTGCTGCTACTGCTACTGCTGCAACCCACTCTCTCAGAAGCTTATCCTGTTTCTAATGGATGCAGCCCGGCTGAGTATGCCGCGCTGCGCTGGACTCGCACCTATGCTCCCAGGGTCGCTTCGGCGGTCATGCTTCATCTCTCTACCTAAATCTTCTGATTCTATCAGATGCAGCCGGCCGAGTAGCTGCGCTGAGCCGTCAATCGGACTCCTAATCAAAGGCATCCATACCTGTATTCTTCACTCTTCTGATCGCAGGCTCCCCCATCATGCTGCCCATCCTGCAGCAGCTCTGAGCGGCACTGAACTCCGGCTCATCTTCCAAGTACATGTCTGCCCTCCTCGCAGCATCTCCCTGCTCGCCTTCTATGGCTTCTCTGCATAAGCGTTCACTACTGCTCGCTCAACCTTCATGCGGTCCGAGACGCGGCTTCCCGACCATCCTACTATCCTGATTATCTACTCTCCAACCCAAGATTCTAAGCGTAAGGGCGCCTGCAACATCTATGGCCCTCTCCGATATGTCTCTGCCCCTATAGGTCTCCCCTTCTACACGGACGTGCCCCTTCCGTGGGTTTTGGGGGGTTCTTCCAGGACCATCGGGTTGCCGGGCCGTGGCCGCTACTTCCACCGGAGCATCTCCTCTGCCCTACACGAGATATTCCCAGTGGTCGTGGCCTGCGCGCTGTGGAATCACACGTGGCAGAGAAAGAGGATCCCTGTCATGCGCGATAATCTCGACGTAGTGGAAGCATACACAAAGGTCGCTCTTTTTCACCCAACATAACGTCCCTGACCCTTTCAACCTTCATCTCAAACATTCAAAGACCAAGGCGCCTGCAACATAATAATAGCTCGCTCCGACACATCTCTCTCCAGACAACCTTCCCATGACAGCAACCTGGTTCAGAGCTCAACTAAGATCCCTACTGCTCCTCTGCAATTTGTCTCCCCAGCTCTATACAGCCCACTCCTTCAGGATAGGCGCCGCCACGCGCGCGGCCTCGCTGGGGCTCCCCCACCTCTCCAACAGCTGGGGAGCTGGTCCTCTTCGGCTTTCTCCGCCTACATCAGGCCAGACGCGTCCGCCATCCTGGCTGCACAACGTCTACTGGCTTCCTCGCAAGCTCCCAGCAAAGCAATACGAAGCAAAGTAAGCGAAGCAATAAGATTCTGGTGGCGGCACGCACTTCTCAAACACTCTCCGCTGCCGCAGCGTCTGACGGAACGTGATGCGAACGTTCACGTTCCCAGCGCGCAAAGATAACCCACGATGCATTACACTCACCTCCGCTCTCGGAAAGGAGATCTCAACGGACCGTTATTTCTCACCCCCGATCACCTCCCAATGTCATCCAACGGGTTCAGAGCCCAACTAAAGTCCGTACTGCTGCTTTGTAACCTGTCTCCCCATCTCTACGCAGCTCACTCCTTCCGGATAGGCGCCGCCAGCAGCCGAGTATCCGCAAGTATTGATCACAGTAGATAGCGGTCACAGCATATAGCGATAGCGGTCACAGCATATAGCGATAGCGGTCACAGCATATAGCGATAGCGGTCACAGCATATAGCGATAGCGGTCACAGCATATAGCGATAGCGGTCACAGCATATAGCGATAGCGGTCACAGCATATAGCAAAAAATGGTTAGCAGCATTGCGCTGGCGGTCACAGCATAGTGATAGCGGTCACAGCATATAGCGATAGCGGTCACAGCATATAGCGATAGCGGTCACAGCATATAGCGATAGCGGTCACAGCATAGCGATAGCGGTCACAGCATAGCGATAGCGGTCACAGCTTAGCGATAGCGGTCACAGAATAGAGCAGTCACGACGTCTGTCCCCTCCAAACCAGGCTTCGAAAACTCCATCAACACGCAGCCTTTTTGGGGATTGTGCGCGCTCCAGCGCAGGAGCCTTTCCGATCTGAAGGCCGCACCGGGACCTAGGGCGCCAAACCTCCTTTCATAAAATACTCAAAACTTCCTGTTTTCTCGTCTCTCCAAATTGAAATGCAGCCAGCGAAAGTTCAATTTGGTAGACGTTAACCAAATTTACCCCCTCCAGGCCGGCTCGCATCCCAGCCTATCGCTCAGCAGACGCCCCCTTCCAATCATCGTACCGACTACGCCAGCCGCATAAAAACGGAAAAACTACCACTCTCTGCCTCCTGAAGCCTCGCAACCACCGCCTCCCCTCCTCCTCCTCTTCACCCTGCCTCCAATCTGCCTCCAATCTGCTTCCTGCTGCCAAATGCCGCCACCAGTGCCTAGGTCCCGGGGGATTGTGCGCGCTCCAGCGCAGGAGCCTTTCCGATCTGAAGGCCGCACCGGGACCTAGGGCGCCAAACCTCCTTTCATAAAATACTCAAAACTTCCTGTTTTCTCGTCTCTCCAAATTGAAATGACTCCACAAATGCATAAATGCGACGACTGAATCCAGATTTATAAATAGGAGCTTTTCCGAATGCTTTGATGGCGACAGTATCGTGGTGAAGAGTTTTTGTCTCCGGCTTCTGCCTGGTGAGCCATCAAAACCTATTTACTCCATCGCTCTATTGTTCGGCCTCAAATCCACATCTAAATCCTCTCGTCTTTGTCTTTTTGTGAGCTGCCTCCCACTCAGGCAGCCATTTTCAGAACAGAGGCAGACCACAGTTTAGTGTACTCATTAGATGCTTTAATGAGACCAATTAATGTATGTTTATTTGGTTTGGTTTGGTCAGGATGAGTTGGAAAAGGCGGGAGTCACGTTTTTTCCTCAAAGAAATGGTTGCACATTGGCGTATGTGTGGTCAGAAGGTAAACTTTGATGAGCTTTGCATTTGAAAGTGAGACCAAGTCAAACCTCTGAAGCTAAGCAGGGCAGGGCCTGGTTAGTACTGTGATGGGAGACCTCTGGGAATAGTAGGTGCCACAGTGGGGCGGCTGCGGCTGTCACATTGTCTAGAATGAGTCTGGGGTGTGTGTGGATGGGTGGTGGTGGTCGGAGGGGCTGATGGCACATGCTGGTTGCATCGCCTATGACAAGTCTGTGTGCCCCAGGGCAGATGTGGCTACAGTACTGGTTCACCATCACTGTGCATGAAGTGAATGAACAGTGACAAGTGAATCTTTTATGTTCTTATAAAAAAGCTATATAAAACCGATGCATTGGGTCGACCCAGTCCACACAGGAGGAGACCCAGGAGGAGACCCAGGAGGAGACCCAGGAGGAGACCCAGGAGGAGACCCAGGAGGAGACCCAGGAGGAGACCCAGGAGGAGACCCAGGAGGAGACCCAGGAGGAGACCCAGGAGGAGACCCAGGAGGAGACCCAGGAGGAGACCCAGGGGAAGACCCAGGAGGAGACCCAGGAGCAGACACAGGAGGAGACCCAGGAGGAGACCCAGGGGAAGACCCAAGACACTTTAGAGGAACTACGTCTCTCAGCTGGCCTGGGAACGCCTCTTAGTTCCCCCAGATGAGCGGGAGGAAGTGTGCGTGGATAGGGAAGTCTGGGTATCTCTGCTTGGACTGATGCCCCCGCGACACAGCAACAGATAAAGCGGAAGAAATGGGTGGATGGATGGAAAAAAAATAACTTTAAGTCACTTCATCAGTTGTCTGTTTGGAGCCTTTGATGTGACCATGATTTTACTGGTGTTATACAAAGGGACAGAGCTCAGAGCACTATGGAGGGACTGGATAAATGAGTGGAACATACATCATTCAAGATCAATATTAAGATTTCAAATTCTCTTTATAAGGATATTTCAGACAGCCTGTGTGTGTTTGTGTGCGTCCGTCTGTGTGTGTGTGCCTCTCCTTTCGCTTCTTCACCTCAGCACAAAGGCCTTGTCTAAACATCCCCATAATCGTGACTAATGGAAACGGTTAAAAGCAGATGAAACGGGGATACAAGGCTTACGAACAAAAACCTCACACCTGCATCTGTCCCAAATCTGCCTCATATTCCACTCAAGTGACTCCATTTGTTCTGTGCGATATTTTAATCCCGCCTGACCTCAAACTCCCCGTGAACCGCGCGGGACAGGGGCCGCCCACAGCACCGACCCGCAGCTTGACTCAATTTGCTGAATGAAAGTCTGGGCCCGGCAGAGTCCAGGCTCTGGTGGACGCACAGATGTTGGTTTTTAATGTGGAGGCCTAAACGGACAGGTTCAGGAGCCAAAGGGGAGAAGGGGGGGAGAGGAGGGAGAGGGAGGGGGGGATAGCTGGAGGGTAGAGAGAAGTGTTTTCCAATCAGAGGTAAAGGGGACAAAGGGTATAGGCACGCACTGATCGGGGGGCAATGGATTGTGATATTGGAAAGAAAGGTGGAATTCAAAAGTGTTGGATTTCAGTACGTTTCTCCTTTTCTTCTAGTGGTGAGAAAATGAAAGTGTGTGTGTACAGAACATTGTATTTTCAGAAATTTGATGTGAGAAAGACAAAAAGGTGGAGCTCTGAAACGAGATAAAGGATTACCGGAGAGGATAGAGGACCACTACGATGAATAACAGAATACAAATTAACCTGCCCCTTTGTAAAGCTTCTTTGAGTGTCTAAAAAGTACAATATTAGGTGTAAATATGTATTATTATTAGCATATTATTATTATCATCATTAAGTCAGGTCACTGTATAGAAAGTGTCTTGGATTCAAAAGCTCATTTGGCAATTCAATGTTGGTGTTGAGGATTAGCATTAAAACAAATAAAAAAATGTTTTAATTTGAATGAAATGGAAAACTTTAAAACAGAATAGGTATTTTCTGCATCCATCTATCTTCTATCTTACTTTTTCTTCTATCTATATTTAATGTACTGCGATCGTTTATGATTTTAATGCCTGGTGTGATTATTTCTATATTTTTTGTTATCTTGAGTATGAACTGTGCCATACAAATTAACTTGCCTTCTCGCAAAGTATGTCTTTAATTCCTAATCATTTTAACGGTCAATTCTCTTCAGCTTTCTCTGTTACCAGGTCCCAAAGGCCGAGACATCCCTTCACACCACACACACTTCTCCAGCTCGGGGGGATTCCGAAGGCGTTCCCAGGCCATGTCCCTCCAGTGTGTCCTGGGTCTATCCCTGGGGTCTCCTCCTGGTCTGGGAGTCGTTCTACCCTAAAGAAGTCAAAGAGTGAATATCCTATTTCCACTATATATATCCAATAAACCCCACATACACACTTTAGTGATCAAATTCAACCAAATGTTTTTCTTACTTCTTAATCATGCTAAAGTTAGAGATTTTAGATTTGCATTCATTGAAATAAATAAATACATTATAACATTTACGTCCTTAATACGCTAAAGTTTCATATTCTTCATTCATTCATCCATTTTCTTCCGCATCATCCGTTGCCGGGTCACGGGCAGCGAATTATGCTATTATTATTATTCAAAATTCACAGATTTTATTTTTTTATTTTGTTTCAGTATAGAGTTATCGTCCACTTATCATTTCATGTGTGCTCTTCATTCCAACTGTTTTGTAACTGGTGATGCAACACTGAAATTTCCCCACTGCGGAACCAATAATGGATCTCCTAATCTTAATTTCATCTTGTTTGTTTTGCTTCAACAGAAATGACTGAGACTACACTTCATTATTTTTCTTTTATAAAACAAAAAAACAAATGTATCTGTTGTTGTTTCGTTCCATGGTGTCCTGAGCGCTCTGCAGACGAGCACAGGCTAAACCCATTATTTCCAGTTTGCGGCGTGAGAGTTACAAATGGCTGCATAAGTTGTGTGAAGCTCTTAGCCACATGAAAACGCCGCGTGGTCCTCTGAATCATTTACAGATGACGAGTCTCCGAAGAGCGACCGTAAATCACCGGGCCCTGCGTTATTGCATCTCTGTTATCTGCACAGAAAAAACCTTGCGCCGAAAGTGTTTTGGAAAATGCCTTTCATATTTACTCATCAGCCATTATCGGGGGGGAATCTTCGAATTGCTATAAAGCTGTGTTTTTATCTGCTACTATCTGACCCGGGCTGGATAAATCAGGGCAAAAGTGACGGCTGGAATGTAAAGTGTACAGTAAGGAGGAAGCTAATATTAACCAGGTGTGGCCAGCGCCGGCGTAAAACATGGCCGACAACAGCATCTGTGCATCACTCGAATCTCCGGCCGCTATGTTTCAATCAGGAGCCGCGGCGTGGACGACACTCATGGAGCTTTGAAATAAATATGGGACAAAATAAGTTCTGTTGTTAAGTAGATAAAAATGCGAGCTTGGATTTGTCGGAGGAGAGATGCAAAAATACAGGATATTTTAGAGTTTTTATTAATGCATGCTTTTCGTCTCAAAATAAATGCAGATGCAGTCCGCGGTCTATAATACTTTTTGGGATCATCGCAAAAATATAGTAGACATTGTAGCAACGTCAAATGAATAATAAATAATAATCTGTATTTCTATTGTATTTTGTTTGATAAATATATCTTAATCAAATGTGTATATACATTTGACTAATTGTATTTTTATATGCATTTTATTATTTCATTATTTTCATGTATCTATATATTTATCATATAATTTATTTAATTTATTTTAATTTTATGTTAATCTATTTATTTATTTTATTTAAATGTTTCTTAGTATTTATTTTGATTGACCCCTTTTTCAATGTTTTGCCGAATTATTATTATTATTTTTTTGACTTCTTTGCAGCACTTTGGGAACTCTTTTTCTCATAAAACGTGCTTCATAAACAAAAGTGGATTTGCAATTTAACTCAACAAACAAACAAAACCTTCCACAGTTGCGTCTTGTGTCTGCAGTGTCTTTCCCTGTAACGGTGAAAAGTTCTCATCATAGAACTTACAAAAACTATGAAATCTTTGAATCAAGAAGCTATCCCTGAGTGAACAAGTCCCTTTCAGATCTCAAAGTCACTCACTGGAGTTCTATACAAACCAAAGTGAGTTTTTTCCATTTGAATCAGTCGCATAAACATCCAGACAACAATCACGCACTCACTATTGGCACATTTTATCAAAGCTAAATCCTCCTCGTCTTCTTCAGCTTGAGTAGAAATTGAATTATAAGCTTATGTTGTTGTGAGTGACCTCTGTGGAGGAAACAGGAGGTTATGGCTCCTGAGGATTCACTGTAAAAGCGATTAGCTGTGTGTAAGTCATCAAAGAGATTATTGTTATTGTGGGAATATTTCATAATTTAAAAAGATAATACAGTAACAGCCTTTTTGCGTGGAATGATATCCTCGGTGGGAATTCGTTCACATTACGGCTCCGTGTTTTGTGTGGTAGGTGCGTGCTCTGTGTGGCTCTCTCCAAAACGTCTTAATCCATCGTAACAACTGACAACTGACATGATCCAATTAAAATAGAACGGAGACATTTGTAATCATTTGCCATCGCGACGCCTCTGCACTTCACCACGGCAACTAAAACAAAACACAGGAACTGACTGGATTTTTATAGTTTCACATTTTGAGGTATTTTTCTTTCTCCATTTTTAAAAACATAAATCATATACATCCGGATTAGAGCAAGCGTGTGTTTGATGTTTAATTTTGTGGCGCCACCTGCAGGTGAAATTGAAATCTCGGCACACCTCTGAAGCTAAGCTGGGCACTGCCTGGTCAGTACTGTGATGGGAGACCTCTGGGAACACCAGGGGCCGCGGCTGTAAAGTAGCAAATACTTGTTGTGTCTTTAGGCAAGACTCTTCACCCACATTAGAATGAGTGTGTGTGATTGATTGGTGGTGCTGGGAGACACATGCTGGTTGCCTCGCTTCTGTCAGTGTGCCCCAGGGCAGCTGTGGCTATAGAAGTAGTTTATCACCTCTGTGTATGGAGTGAAAGAATAATGACATATGAGGCATCTTTGAGTTTCCAAAAAGCTAAATCTAAAGAGAAAGAAGAATAGTTTTATTCAGTTAAACAATTCACAAAGCAAAATTTCTATGCTGCAAAAAAAGTTAGGGTTAGGGTTAAATTAAATCAAATTGCAAGTGTATTAGTTAAATTGCAAATAGGCAACAAGACAGCCCTAAGTTTGACCCCTTGGCATCACCAGGCCTTTCTCTGTGGGTTTGCATGTTCTCTCCATGTCTACATAGATTTCCTCCAGGTGCTCCGGTTTCCCTGACCACTAATTACATGATCATCAGACTCTCTCTCTCTTTGGGGCCTGGATGTAGAAAGTGAAAAAAAAATCATGTTTCTGGAATAAATCTCCACCAATCAAATCAATATGTTTGCAATTCAAGTCCTTTTAACTCTGCTTAGCCCAAAACAGCACCTATAATGAGAGTAATCCATCTGAAAGTTGTCCTGGGTTCATTTCAAAGAGTCAGGGGTCTCAGGGGTCGGGGGTCACAGGGACAGCAGTGTAAGGATCCAAGAGTGTTACATTCGTCAAAAACCTGTTACATACTCAGATTTGTCTCAATAAAAGCTCAGACATTGAGGACACATTTATTTGAAGAATGTTCCAGATTTT